GAGAATGTGTCTCTCCTGACTTGAAGAACTTTCCAACTGGTTTCTATATGAAGACTCTGCTTGGTTCAAAACTAGGTCTTTTACCTTCTGTTCTGCTGTATTTTCCAGTTCCTAACAGCTGGGGGCTTCTGCCTCCAGAAAGCACTGAGTTGGGATGGAGTTAGACCTGGCTCAAGTCCCTGCCCCATGACAAAAGCCGTTTGACTTTGGGCAGCAGTTTAACCTCTCTGAGTATTAGTTTCTTCAACTGAAAAGGGAGATAATAATAATTATTCAAGGGATTGTTGTTTTGATGAAATGAAATTATTCATAGAAAGTACTAGGCATAGTGCCTGGCATATGATAAATAGACAACAAAAATGGAAACTACAATTGCTATTACTATTGCAGAAGAAAGAATTTCAAAGAAGTATCATACAGTTTAGTTACACAGACTGTTTGGAGAGGTAGAGTGTGATAAATGGATGCTATGACATGGAAACAATAGGAGGTCAATAATAAGTAATCAAGAGGCTCAGAGAGGGTTTCCTGGAAGAAGCAAGATGGGATATTTCCATAGTGCAATAAGACTCTCTCTCCCTCTTTTCTCCTATTGTACTTTCTAGTTCTCATTTGACCTTCACATTGATATGGGACAAGAATTATATATCCTAATTAAAAGGAAGAAAAACAGACCCAAAGAAGTGAAGTGACTTGCTTACAGATATAAGATGGATTTTAATTGACCTATCATATATTAACTACACACCAACACTTTAAGAAATATGCATTTTTGCCAAAATCTAAGTCATAGAGTGCTCAGCCTCCTTATGTATGTAAATGTGCATATTAATAATCTTAAGATAATTTCATAATCTGTAACTAAATTTTACTGTAAGACTGTGCTCCAAATTTGATACACATTACCATCAATATGACACTCCTGAGGAGGAAACTTGAAAAATAATACCAGTTAGAAATGCCAGTATTTCTGTTCCTAATTGCTAGAAATGCAAACCTAAGACAGATATGTCATTTCAGACATTTGTGAAAGAATGATGGCTAAATGTTAAGAACATTTTTTTTAAAAGTCAGACATAGAATACAAAACAACCCTTCAAAATTAGCCAATAGATCTCCTCACATTTAAATACTGCAATTTAAATTTATGAGGTAGAAACATCAAATTAATGAGATACAATTTGAAGAATTGGTGATTAAATACTAATGGAGGTTAGCTTTTAAAAAAATTTTAAATGGCATTCAGAATTCTATGAAGGAAACAGAGATGGTGAAACTAATCATGTTTCAGATGAAGTGGTAAAATTCTATTTCAAAGCGAAGGGTAAAGAGGAAGTGTCAGCCTGGTAGCATGCTCCCATCACTGCACTCAATGAGAAGATGTTGAGCATGGAGAGTGGCCTTGCATCCAAGAATATTCTGATGGTATTGGTAAGATTGGAAAAAGGAGATACTTGAGGCAGGAGGGCAAGCCAGAGGCTGCCTCAGTCATCAAGGCTGAGATGCTGGTGGCAGCAGGGATACAAAGGGAATAACGTGGAAGCTTTTGGCTGGGGAGAACTGACAGAGCTTAGGGTCTGCCTGGAAGTGGGAGTTGCAGGCAGGGAAGGAGTTCGAGTGACAGCTTAAGACTTTGCAGGCGATTTTAGGAGAAGCTGAAAGGAACAACTTGATATGAGTGTCCTACTTTTAGACCAACCATGAAATAGGTCCTAACCTCCTGCACAGCTTTTAGAATCCACTAGCTTTTATTCTATTCTACCCAGGTTCTTGAGTAAAGGGCCCTTGTTTAGCATTCATCTTGACTTAACTTGGAGAAAGTATAGTTTTATCACAGAATTCTTCAGTGGAAAAACTTAATCTTTTTACTAGCAGTGGTACCCTTTCCCCCTTCCCCACTTTTTGACAAATGGAGTGACTTGCCTTCTATTTTCCTATCTGAAAACGTGGGAGAACAACCCCTACTCAAAGAGGTGCTGTCGGGGTTTCATGCAATAATAATACATGAACCATGCACACACAGTTGGAAGAAGGAGGATTATTAAGGTTTCTTTACCACTCAGACGTGTTCTATGTGATGATAGTGGGTAAGAAGTAGGACAGTGGGTAGATGTTATTGGGAGACAGATTTTGCCCCAGAGTAAAGATAAACCTTCTGGGATCCGGATTTTGAGAAGTTGGAAGAGCCACCTAGAGAGAGAGCAAGCTACAGATGCTAAGCGTGTTCCAGCCAATGATGTGGTAGAAAAGGCACTTTTCATCAAGCTATGCCACACATGACAGGTCGTGGCTACTTCTTCATGGCTTTACCCAACCAAGGTTATGTGTGGTTATCTGTCACCTCCATCCTTTCTAGAATAGAAAGTATATATAGCATAACTACAGTGAATAAGAATGTTGATAATTAAGCATTAATAGTAATGGGTTAGCATTTATTAACTATTTATCATAGGTGGGATACATATGTGCTTTGTATGTGTTCTCACATTCAATCTGCAGGAAAACGCTGTGAGGCTAGGTTTGTGACTAATTTGAAATAGGCTTAGAGAAGTGAACCACCTGCCTATGATTTCTCAGCTAGTAAGTAATGAAGCCAGGATAGAAACACATATTTGCTTGCCTCAAAGTTGTGTTTATTGAGAAGGAGGAGGAGGAAGATGGGAGGAGGGAAGGCAAGGAGCGGGGAGGAGGAAAACATTCACAAATATTAGCAGAGCACCTTAAATATTATCAGCCATAAATCATTTGTGACACACACCACAAGTGAAAAACACAATGTAGTGAAGTACTTTTTACAGTCGTACACTTTTCCACAGAAGTGCTCCAACTGTTTCTGACAGTGACCATCTTCCCCCAGTGGCCTGGGATGTAGCCTGAAGAAAATTTATTTTATTCCGTAACACGGCCATATAAAACGTACCTCCATATTTTAGACGAAAATGAATGTGCATTAGAATGCGTGTCATCTTTATCTTGTGCCTTCATGTGTCTCCTGGGAAAACCACTCTTGCCCCCACAGAATATTCCAGTTTTAGAAGCACCACCAGAAATATACATTCATTAGTGTAGAGGTTGATAAAGTATACAACAAACTAAAAAAAAAAAAAAAGAAAGAAAGAAAAAGAAAAGCCTATGATTATATCAACAAATTAGCATTCCACAGGTTTACAAGGCAACAGTTTTTCACACATTCATATACTATCTCAAGCTTTTTATGCATGTCAACTACTTATTTTTCACTGACAGAGCACTAATGAAATCCCCAGGGACTTCTGGTCTACCCCTAATATTGCTGTCTGCTCCAGCACTGTGGAAACCAACTCGCTTTTAGGTAATAAGCCGAACATTCTCAGGAAGGCTATGTTCTTCACCGGAGTCCTTTAGTGCTCATTAACTCCAACTCATCGTTGTGTTGAGAGTCAGGAGACATTGTCTATCCTTTGCCCCGGCACCTGTTATCTTATTGGCCTTATCCGAACAGCCCCAACCCTAACAGCAGCTGAAACAACAGATGGGCAGGAGAACTTGAGATTTTTTTGACATCGTCCTTTTGTTTATGAATTCCTCCCCCCCACCAACTCTGGAATCTAATAGGAATTCTCTTCATTATCATTTTGTGTTTTTTCCCATAGCACTTTTTTATTATTAAAAAGTAAATTATTGACGTAGAGGGAGGTGAAAGACAGGAATAACATCTCCCTTTGAAAATGGTCAAAAAAGAAATGGGGATGGTGATTCGGTCATGTGGAATAGACATAAATATATCTTTGCCTTGGAGGATAATTGGCAGTAGCTAGGCTCAGTTGTTGGTAGGATGGGCTCAAGCAGGGAGCTGAGAGGGGCTAACCAAGGAGAGGGAAGTAATCTGGTGTAAGATTGAGTGTGAGGAAGTGAGACTAGGCATTGCACCAGGAGATCTTGAGAGCAGAGGAGCGATGTAATCTAGGCAAGTTGGAAATCTGGCAGGAACAAGTGCCTGGAATTGCAATTCCAGGACAAGATCTCCTTTTGCAAGGCATGAGATTGTTAAAACAGGCCTAAGCTAGGGATTAGGAAGGCAGAATGCAGGATATTATTTAATGGCATGTGATTGTAAGCAAGTTGCTTAACCTCTCTAGGCCTCAGATTCATCATCTGTAAAATAAACATGAAAATACTAATACACGTGTAGGGTTGTTTTGATTCTCAAATGGGAAAATACATGGAAAGTGCTTAGCCCTGGGTCTGATATTTAATTAGTGAGGCTGCTACTATTATTATTTTAGTCAAGAGTGAGAAACATAGGGAGGAGCAAGTGTTGGGGAGAAGGAGAGTCCCTGGATGTGCTCATGTGTAATGAGGTTCCGGCTCAGGTCTTAACATGAGGAGAAAGTATCAGACAGCACCCACAGAATCTGGCATGGGACTTTCCCACCTCCTTGCCTCTGCTTATCTCTTTTGTTTTTCTCGGATGCATTCTCCCAAACACCCTCATAATGGGCCACATGCTATCTGATTCTTATCCACCAGCATTACTGTAAAGGTTAAATTAAAGATAAAAAGTACCTAGTAAGAGGGCCAGCCTGGTGGCGTAGTGGTTAAGTCCACACGCTCTGCTTCAGAGGCCCGGGTTTCATGGGTTTGGATCCCAGGTGTGGACCTACCCACCGCTCATCAAACCATGCCGTGGCAGTGTCCCACATACAAAATAGAGTACATTGGCACACATGTTAGTTTAGGGACAATCTTCCTCACCAAAAAAAACCAGCCCAAAAAACTACCTAATAATATGCATGTTCACATGTCAATTGATGTGTTATTATTGTTATACATTTTGATGTAGTCCATCATGTGTAAGAGAGCGTCTTAGCCACGGTAAACCTGAAAAATTATTGGATAACTGAATGTGCATGTGATTTCAAAAACAAGTAAGACTGCTAGAAGAATGCACTCAATGGGATCAGTTTGTCTGCCCCCAGCATTGTGTCTGTATAGCTAAGAGTCTTCTTTATGTTTTCCAGGGATCTAAATCTTGGCAGTGTGTACCAGTACCGTGTTATCACCATTTCAGGAAGTGAAGAGAGTGAGCCATCACCTGCTGCCATATACATCCATGGAAGTGGGTACTGTGGCGATGGCGTTATCCAGAAGTAAGTAGATCTAACTCAAGAAAGGGGAGGGGAGATGCTAATTAGACCAAGAGATGATCAGGGTACAAAATAGAAGAGCTTATGGAGTACTCTTCAATGTGTGAGCTGTGAGTTACCAGTGATCCCCAGCAGCCTATCAGTTGGACCACATACATAGTTGCATACATTCTGCAACTGGTTTACTGGTCTGAGAAGAAAAGCATTGATTGTTTTTGGAACATATACATTTCTTAAGTTGGTAATACAATATATGACTTCAACAGAGCTACTAGTCTATACTTACTACCAGTATGCTCCTGTTCTTAGTGGTTTTATGTATTTTACAAGGATTCTCTTTAGTCTTTTCCATCCCAGCCCACATTCAGTTAACAGGACACAGTGCCTCTAGGTCAAAACACTTTCACATTCTTTGCTCGTTACCATTTACGTTTCGTAAAACTGCCTATTTATGTGTTATTTCTTTTGTATCATGTTATATAAACAATTTACAAAATGGGTCAAAGATACATAAAAATAGTGAAATATTCTAACTCACTATAATGTTGAAACCATAAATAGTAAACAGTACTCCAGAATGAGTATTGAATGTGGCTATAAGTATAGGGAGGCAAATGAGTCAGTAAGTGTAAGGATTCCACACGAGCAGCCAAAAAGGAAAAGTGTGATTAGAAAATATAAATCTGCATGTCTGAAAAGTGGATTTTATTGGATCACCAGTCTATTCATCCCTTCGTCCAGAGGACAAGATGTTATGCAACTGCGAAATAGGGGCAAGAAGCCATCAAGACTTTTGCATTATTAAAAAAAAACAAGTAAACCTTTGAGTTTCTTCCTCCAGAATAAGCACAAAAATGTTTTTTGTCCCAAGAGATGAAGAAGAGACCAAAAATCATTCACGATTGCATTCATTATTGCTAAAACTGTGTTTCCCTATTGCTAACGTAGTTGCAAGCCACACTATTGCTAACACACTTTTAAAACTGTGGGCAGATTTAATGATAAACATTATATGTGGAGATGGCAAAACAAGCTATTGGCAACATTTCTTCATTAAATGGCACTGTTGGGTGTCACATAATATCTGTGAAACATGGAATTGCAATGACTATTTCTGAAGGGGGATGGGCGCTGTAAAGAGGATTTGTTTCACAGTTGGATGAAATCACTGATGTGCAGAACATGAATCAGCTCATAGGTGTGGTACATATATGAAAGAGAAGTGCTGGATGACGATTTCTTCAGTTCATCATTGATGCTAGTGCTGGAAGGGAAGAGAGATTTAATTTGGTCCTGATGACTTTGGGATATGCAATGTAAACTGGAAACCTGCTTTGGGATGAAAGCACCAGCGAGGAACACAGCAAGGATGGCACAGTTATGCAAGTAAAGCGTTTGCACGTGAATCTCCATCCACATAGACATCCAGTTATTGGCCAGTGGTTTGCCTTCTGATCATGACTTAGCATGGAAGGGCATAGGGAATGTTGCGAATATGATCAGAGGAGGGCCAATAAGTTGCATCTTTTCAACTTGCTGTGCAAAAAGATAGTAGTTTGTACAAGATTATGCTCCCTCTACACACTGAAGGATACTGGCTGTTACAAGAAAGGTACTACTTCAAGCTTTTGAAATAAAGGATGACATTTCTTAAAAATATTGACACTGATAAGACCAAGAATGATTATTTGCACAATTTCAAGTGGCTTGCTGAAGTGGTCTATCTCAGGAATACATACTCATGTCTTACGTGTCCTATACCTATAATTTCAAGGTTGAATTGTCAAGATTTTAATATGGAGGAGATAATCTAAGAATTTTTAAGTGTTGAATTATGGTGCAAACCACCTGATTGCCAAGAATTTGACTCCTCAAGCATAGAAGATGAAGCTCCTCATTTGTCAGAGAATAAAATCCTTGGTATGCTGTTGTGTATATTTAAGATTCATATCCAAATGCAACAACTGAATGTGAAGATACAGTTTCTCATGCTTAATGTAACAAAACTGGGGAAAGGAAAGCCATTTGCTGTTCTCTCCCACATTACGACATCAACTTCCAGCTTTTGAGGCAACTCTTGTTTGATGGAACACTGAGCAACTGAGCAAGGCTCTCTCCAGGGAAGGTGCCCGTCATTTGTGGGTCCAAGATTGAGCTGCATATCCAGAATATCCAGGGAATACTTGTGGTCATTGCTGACAACCCATAATTGCGATTTGGGATTTTCTAATTTATCATAAAGAATAAAAAAAGAAACTCACCAGATTGGAACCTGATCTACAACTCAGTCTATCCATTTTGGAGCCAGAAATAGATGTATTGGTAAAAAACTGCAAACAACATCATTCTTCTTCCTGATCTAAAGTTATTATTATTATAATTAATTTAAATAGTTTTTTTTTTTGAGGAAGATTAGCCCTGAACTAACATCTTTGCCCATCTTTCTCCACTTTATATGTGGGATGCGTGCCACAGCATAGCTTGATAAGTGGTGCACAGGTCTGCGCCTAGCATCCAAACCAGCGAACCCCGGGCTGCCAAAGAGGAGCTCGTGAGCTTAAACACTATGCCACTGGGATGGCCCCTAAATAGTATTTTTAACTTAAAGTTTTTTAGTATTTTGTCTTAGAATTGGTATCCTGTATAGACATCAAATACTTATTAAGTTACCTGCAGGTACCAAATAGTTGTTGACACGCTTTGTAGAAAACTGAACACAGCTTATGGAAGGTTCCCTAAGGAAAAAGAAATTCTTTGAGGAAAAGGAGAGATGTCATTTTAGTTAATTGGATTTTTCATGGGATGATGCATGCTAAATTGGTATGTATGTGTAAGAGGATTTAAAAAGAAGTACAGATAGACTCAACACTCAATGAGGCCCCAATGGGTGAAAGGACTAGAAGAATATTATAGTAATGCTAACAATATTCGTGAATATTTGTTGAGCCTCTGCTATGCACAGTGCACTGTACTACACTGTTACCTCCTTGAGTCCTTCCAACAACCCTATGAGATGAGTCCTGTCACCATGCTTTACAAGAGACAGCTAACAGCCAAAGATTAAAGGGGTTGCTTCAAGCTTACACACCCAGTAAGGACCAGAACCGAGATGTGAACCCAATGCCCAGGTTCTTATCTGGATTCATTATTGCCTTGCCGTGTGACCCACAGGCCTGTACAGCTATCAAGTGAAGAAGTAGCTACGTGCTGTCTGCTATGTCCCAGGCAATGTGCCAGGCATCAGGGTACTAGAATGACAAAGACTCTGTCACTTCCTTTGACATCTTAAAGCCCAGTAAGGGGGTTCTCAAGTAACAGGGCAAAGGTGTCAGTTTGACAAGTGCTGTGATAGATGGAGCCCAGTGTCTCTGGACACAGAGAAGATGGCCACCCGCTCCAGCCTGGGAGGTCAAAGAAGGTTTCTCAGAACCTCTCTATCTAATGAGAAATCTGTCATGCTTAGAAGATATTTGTGGTGACCCTAATGTTTTGCTTAAACCAATAGAACATAGTGTTTGGGTGGTGAGGGAAGGCGGGTTAGAAGTGTTCTTTGTGGCTTAGGGAAACCAGCCCAGGTTAAAAAAAAAATCTCTCCCCAGATAACCCATGAAATAGCTAAGAAGCACAAGGCCATCACCAATTTCCAGCGTGCGAGATGCACTGGCAGAGATTGAAATATGGGCCCAGCTTGGAAGAGGGACTTCTTTGCTCATGGGTTTGCAGACAGGAGAGAGCTTGGGTGGCTCTTCAGAGATCAATGCAATGTCCTAGCCATCTTAAGGCTTGATTGCAAGGCACCATCCTGCGACTCTGACACCTCCTAAAAGCAACAAACATTTCCCAGTGCTAATTGCCCTGCCTGGGTGAAAGGAAAAGTCTGAGGCCTCTTCCATGCTGTGACAGGTCCCAGCTGGTCTCTGGGGAGGGAGGGACAGCTGCGGCACACTCTGCAGAGAACTTCCAGGACAAAGTGTGAATGGAAACTGCGATTCCCTGAGCCTCTACTGTGTGTCACACACTGTGCCAGCCACTTTAAGTTACGTTCTGTTCTTGCACCAACACTAAGGAGTCAGTATAAGTATCTCCATTTTAACCCATGAGAAAACTGAGATTCAGCATCTAAAAGAGCACTGTCAAGTATATTTTTCTGCCATGATGGAAATTTATTCTGTGCTGTCCAATACAGTAGCCAATATCTACATTTAACTGTTGAGGAGTTGAAATGTGGTCAGTGTGACTGAGGAATGGAATTTTAAATTATTTTAAATTTTAATTGATTTAAATAGTCAAAGATAGAAAGATCAGATAGAGAGATCAAGTGACTTGTCTGAGATTACACAACCATTTTGGAACGTGGGATCCAAACCCAAGTTTTCTGTTTCTAAATGGATGTGAATTTCCCAGAAAGTGGCAGTCTTTCCAATCTTTCCGTTATTACTGCTCCTTCTCTTCTCCTAGGTCCAATTTAGAAAGCATTGCTCATTTTCTGCCTACCCTAACCTCTGCAGAGTCATCCATAGGTGGTGGAAATAATTCCTTAAAAAAAAGACATGAGGAGGCATTTTTAGGGGCCGGCCTGGTGGTGTAGTGGTTAAGTTCATGCACTCCGCTTTGGCAGCCCAGGGTTCACTGGTTCAGATCTCAAGTGTGACCTTCGCACCCCTCAAGCCATGCTGTGGCAGGTGTCCCACATACAAAATAGAGGAAGATGGGCACAGATGTTAGCTCAGGGCTAATCTTCGTCAGGCAAAAAAATAAAAGAGGAGGCATTTTTATTTCCTGGCAGCATGCTTCCACAGCTTTGGAGTTCTTTTTTCTTTGTAGGAAGATTAGCCCTGAGCTAACTGCTGCCAGTCCTCCTCTTTTTGCTGAGGAAGACTGGCCCTGAGCTAACATCCATTCCCATCTTCCTCTAATTTATATGTGGGACGCCTACCACAGCATGGTGTGCCAAGCGGTGCCATGTCTGCACCCGGGATCCGAACTGGTGAACCCTGGGCCGCTGAAGTGGAACGTGCACACTTAACCGCTGGGTCACCGGGCCGGCCCCGGCATGGGAGTTCTTAACACTGTGAAATGATACACCCAATGGAGAAGGCAAACCTTTCTGATAAGAGGAATACCAAACTTGAGCATGTGAATAAAAAATATCTTTACTTTTAGGTGCATTGGGGGAGTTGGGAGGGACTTGAGGCAGGGCTTCGTGAAAAACAGCATTTATATATTTAGAAACTCCAAGTTTTCCTTCAAATCTACCATTTTAAAATGCAATGAGAATTGCCACACACAAAGGAGCAAGGTCTGTTCATCCATTTCTTGCTCTCATCTGACTTAACCAACATAACTGACAAGATCTCAGAGAATGAGTTGGAAGCAGGAATTCTACTTCGTCCTGGGAAACACAAAATAAGACAAATGCAATCGCATCCTACAAATTTATACCTTTTATGCATCTCATTTTGAAGATGAAGAAACAGAGACTCCAACTGGGAAAGAGACTTGCCCCAGGGCTCATGGATAGTTCATGGCCCAGGGAAGAAACTTTTCTGTGTCCGGCTGTGGTTCTGAAGCTGATGTGACCAATTTCTCTTCTCTGTCGGTTCTGCAGAAGCCAAGGCGAGGAATGCGATGACATGAATAAGATCAATGGTGATGGCTGCTCCCTTTTCTGCAGACAGGAAGTTTCCTTCAATTGCATCGGTAAGTCTGGCATTTCTTTGGGCTTTGCTGGAGAAGTGGACAGTGCGAAATTGTTAGTCAATTACAATAACAGCAATAGTGATGACTAAATAATGTTACTCCTTTATGTTACAAATATTTATTGAGTGCCTCCTATGGGCCAGGCACTGTTTTAGCTACCAGAAAATACAGCAATGGCGCGAAAAAAGGCAGATACTCCTGCCCCCTCATGGACCTTATGTTCCCATAGATGACGGCGATGACTAGTAACGTTTTTGCTTGAGCTGTACATTACATATATTATCACTCTTCTTCAAGCTAACTGTCCAGGATGGTTATTAGGATAGATTTTTAAGGCTTTTATTCTTACTTTAGAGATGAGAAAAACCAAAAGCCAGACATGATAAAACATGGTCAGAGTCACACGAGTTAGAAGTGATTGAAGACAGAACCAGAACTTGAACCTGATTTTGTCTGATTCTCAGGCTCGTGCTCAGTTCATTTTGCTACACAACCACCAGCCAGGATCCAGGAGCAGCCATGGTCCCCTCTGTACTCTCAGAACATTGGGCGGGCTCTCTGACTTGGAGGAGGAGGAATAGCAGACCAGCCTGTGTTTAGAAAGCAAATGTCCTCTTCCCACCTCTCCCCAGTCAGATGGGAAATTTGTTCACTCCTGCCTTCTCTAGGAGTCTGGCTGATCTTGTTGTTTCAGCCCCACTTGGGAGGCCCTGGCCAGCCCGGGGGCTGGTAAACAGACAGGGGTTGGGGGGCAGGGATGGAATTTTGAGCTGGCCCAGATGAGATCATTCTTCCTTTAAGATGCAAATCGATACCTGAAGATCAAAGGTCCCCAGGCTAATCCCCTGGGCTGGAGGTGAAAAGTAATCACAATTCATTTGCAAGTACAAAAGACAGAGGTGCTCTATCTGAGGAGGAAAGGGCAGCTACAGAGGGAGGAAAGCGGTAGTGGGAAGATTTCTCACTGAAAGGGAATTTTCGAAGGGGACGCAAGGGGAGGAAATGTCATCAGGTCCTCACATTTGCAGTGCATTACAGGAGTGCCTTTAGACTTTCCTTCTCCTGGTAGATTGTGGGCTCCCTGAGGTCTTTACCATGCATCCTTTGCCTTTTGTTCCATTCTCAACACACATTTATTGAGCACCTACTGTCTCCTTGGCACCAAGTAGGGGCTGAGCAGTATGATAGACGTGCCCTGCAACTGTGTGTGGATGGAAGAAAGGAAGATGTGGAAGGACAGCAGAGTTTCCAAGCAGCGCCTTGGATTTTTCAATGGCAGAAAGTTGTTTTCCTCTCCTCTGTTGATTTGAATATGGTCCATAATAAAGGCTTGATATTAGCCTAGTGGTATGGCAGAAAGAGCCTTGGACTAAAATGAAGAAAACCAGAATCTGGGCCCACCTGTGCTGAGAACTTGCTGCATAAAACTGGCCAAGTCATTTCCCTGCTCTGGGCCTCAGTTTCCATCCTATAAATAGAAAAGATTAGGTTAAGTGGTTCTTAAGAAACTTACTTGCACTTCTGTTGTGTGATTTGTAAGATGTGTGACTATTCCTCGTAATCCTGAGCTCTACTTGAACTAAACCCTCGCCTTTGTACCCTCGTGACACTCAATATTACTCTCAGATCATGCTGGAAAATATCTACCTATTTCATTCACACTAGGGTGGCATGTAACTTAAGTGCTTCTGGGAAGAAGGTAGGATGTGGTGAAGGTAGGATATGGTACCCTAAAAGAGATGCTTGGGCCCTGACATCCATGTTCTGTTTGCTTTAGCATCTCATGTAGCAATAAACAAAAACAAGGGAGCCCCTTACATGTAGAAGCTCATGGTCCATGGAAGGAGTCTGCAAACTAGAGTCCCTGGGCCAGAATTATGTTCGTAAATAAAGTCTTACCGAAATACAGCACACCCATTCCTCACATATTGTCTGTGGCTGCTCTCCTGCTACAACAGTGGAGTTGAGTGGTTGCAACAAAGACCCTATGGCCCAAAGAGCCTAAAATATTTACTATCTGGCCCTTTACAGACACCGTTTGCTGACCCCTGGTCCAAGAATTTGGAGTCTTTGATACTCTTGGCTATTGGACCCTGGTGCAGAAAGGAGGTGAAAATTAAAAGATGGTTCACCCTTTCTTAGAAAAAGAACTGAATTTTAAGCAAACAGTGGTAGGTTTGGGAGAGTATGTTAGAAATAGCCGTAGCTTATGTTGCCTTTTTGAGCCTCACTTCCCCTTTGTATTTTGGCCAAAACAACCATTTTGAAGGAGGTCAGTGATTTTCAAGCTGTGTTAACTGAGATGCATAAGAAGAAAGGAGAGAAGACGAGGAAGTTACCAATAGGATGAGACTTGGACCCTCGTGGATCCATTTTATATACCGTCATTTTCTAATAGGTTGTAAGTATTCTGCAGCTGATGGTGATATTTACTGAACATCTGTTATATACCAACCACATTTATAAACTCTCCTTCTCATAACACCTCTTTTATTGTCCTGCTTTTACAAAAGAGGAAGCTGAGGCATGGGCAGGTGAAATAAAGATATGCAGTTAAGTGGTAGAACTGGAACTCAAGCCCAGAGAGCCTGACCCCAGAACTCACTGTGGTCAGCTACCTGCAAAAAAAGACTCCTCTTGCTCTAGTGGAGCTTTGGTGCTGAACAAGGAACATACAGCTGTCGAATAATTCATGTAATAAATTAATGGACTGAAATACAAAACTGTCAGTGGTGTGGATGGTGTCCAGGGAAGGCTCTCTATTACCCCTGCATATTGAGTGTGTTTTGTGTTAGAGGAAGGACCTCAGCTATGCCCTCCACCCTTGCCATTTAGAATTCCATTAGAGACACAGGGCATTTCGGGCATTAAGGAGTCTATCCAGAGATCCCACCTCCCAGGAACTACATCCCGAGGACAAACTCCATGGCTTTGAGTCTAGAAAACCACCTTCCTCTAAGAAGAATAGGTGAAGAAAACACAGTGAATCTTTGGCTCCCAACAGATCCAGCTTTAATGAGTCAGAGAAATGGGACTGGAGTGTGGTAGGCTTTGCTGAGGTGGACGTTGTTCTCATCATTACTTTTGTCAAGACAGTGGTCAAGATAGTGGCCAAGAGAACAGGCTTGAGTGAGACTGATGGGTTCACGCTGTGGCTTAGACATGTGGCCTAGGCTAAGCTTCAGTGTTCTCATCCAAAAATGGTGAAAGTCTGGGACTCAACTGTGAAAGATATTTACCAATATTTTTTGATATTTACTATGTGAATCCCCTTTCCTAGAAATAACTCTCCTTGTTATAATTATCATGAGGCAGATCCCAACACCTATTATGGACGTTGAAAATCCAAAAGTCTTCTCCCAGTCCCCCTTATAGCTTGAGTGTGGGCACAAGACCTACCCTCTCCCCCACCCAAGATACTGAATCAGAAACTAGTCGTGATAAGACATAGAGACCTGCAGAAACCATTTTGATAAGGATGGTGGGAGTGGCCACAACCCATGCGTTTCCAAAGTACCAGTGACAGCATGTAACATTAGTGCTGAAGTGACCACGTGTAGCAAAGCTCTGAGGTGTCTTCACAAGACGAGCCCTGGGACCTAATTTGAGCTTGGAATTGGGCTTCAGAGCAAGCAAGCCTGACTCTCCAGCCCTCCCAAGGAGTATTCCTTAAGTAGCCAATATTCTTTGAATAGATTTTGTTTGTTTGCTTGTTTTACTTAAGTTAGCCAGAGTTGGTTTCTGTTGATTGTCACTTAGAACCTTGACTGAAAATTGTTGTCATAAGATACTATGAGGTTTAGCCCCATTCATAGCAAGTTGGATGTGCTTGATGCACATTAACTATTACTTTTCTCTGTGTTTTTGTGTGTGGGGGGTGTGGGTATGTGTGTATGTTGAGGGGTATCAGCAACAAGCACTATTTATGGATACCCATTAGGTGGTACACCCTGTGTCATCCACCTTTGTTTAATGTGAGCCTATGTGAGGTCTCTTATATCCAGATGAGGGAGCTGTGATGTCTTAACTTGCCCAAGGTCAAATAGCTCGTAGAGGTGTGATCCCATCTCCAGATGGAGTAGAGATCCCTTGCTTTTTCTACTCTTTCATTCTGCCTTCATCTGAATGAGTTCCTTCCTCCCTCCCTCCTTCCTTACCTTCCCACTTCACTTCTTTCCTTCCTTCCTTCTCTCCTTCCTTCCTCCTTTCTTCTTTCCTTCTTCCCTTCCCTCCTTCCTTCTTTCATTTCTTTCTTCTCTTTTATTTTTTGTCACCAAACATTTAATAGGGCTAATGTTTTCCCTGGCTTTGGTAACACCAGTGTGAGGGTAGGTGACAGATTTATGGTGGCATTCCCATTCACTTTTCAGAAGCCCACACATCCGGAAGTATTCCCAAGGTGCCACTGTATTATTATGCAACACCCTGGGACTTCCCTTTCCCACTTTCCTGCCCGCAGCGTCCTCATCCCCCAGTACATAATAAGTTACTTGTTAAAAGGAACACCGCCCACAAGATCTCTTAGGCAATGCAAGCTACATCCCTGGCAATGTGGAAATTATCTTGTCCTTTCCCCCCTTTTTAAAATATAACATACACCAGGCCTGAGGTTTCAGTGAAAAAATGTGGTATCAGTAAAATGATAACTCCCCCAACAGGCACTGGCTGGAGGCATTGTTCGGCAGCGTTGGGAATTCTGTTTCTAAAGCACTGAGTCATAAACTACAGACAGGCTGCTGATAAAAGCTGAAGGAGGGAAGGTAATGGTCAAATTAGTCAGACAAAATGTGAAGCATCCCCAAAAGGGGTTATACTTAGTAATATATCTTGAGCTGGTGCTGGAAATCTGCTACCTTCTGAGATGACATTTAATCCATTCCAGGAGAAGTGATTGTGGATGACTCCTCATGCTCTGTTTTGATTAACCACCTTGTGTCCTTCAGGATAGCTGGGTCCAGGTCTCAGTTTAGACTTGAGAGCCTGGGCTGCAGCTTAGCATCTCGGAACCTCAGGTTCTCCCCTTGTGAAATGAGAGGGATTGGGCTGAGGGCTCTCCAGCTTCTTTCTCTGTCTGATGCTGAAGAATCCTTGATTTGTCAAACATTCATTTAAAGGCTTTGGGGTTTCAAATCCTGCTGGCTGCTGATATGTAGTTAGGAAAACAAAGCCAACGGACCCCCACGTTGTCTTTCCCAGACAGACACACACTCTGTGTGTCTCATTTTCTCCCTCCCTCCTCACTCCTCTCCTCTCCCCCATCCCCTGTCATTAACATCACTTTGTCTCTAGTCCCTGACGCAGCATCTCCAGCCCGGTCCTAGAGCCAGGGCCAATAACTCAATTATCTGTGAGCCAGATAAGGGGAAGGAGGGGGGATCAATCTGCCTCCCCACCAGTCACTGGGAGGGGTGGGGGTCACCAAGCCTTGTGGTCCCTCTGTCAGGCCGCCCTGGCCTGCTCCAAGCCCAGGCGAGAAAGGAAAACAAGAAGATGAATCGCCATGACTTCTTGGTGGATGTTCTGATGAGACTTTAAAACAACAGTGACTGAAAAGGAAAACAGCATCTGGTGGGGGGAGGGGGACTGGAAGGGAGAGGAAGACTGGGCTCTGCTGGGAGTTGCATGTATTATTATTTTTCTTTTTAACAATGCGAAATCATAATAGACGATCCACCTCTCACCTTACCAAAAAATTAAAATTAAAAAAGCAAAATAAAACTTCTCCCGGCTGCATGTATGCCTTCAGACCTTCCTCTGCGGAAAACATGGGAACTTTCACCAAAATACCTCCTGGAAATAAAGCTTCCCTTGATTTGAAGACAGGCCCTTGAAAGAAGAGAAGAGAAATATTAGCGGTAATCATGGTGGTGGTGATGAAGGCAATCACGGTGATGCTCTATGAGCCAGGATGGGTGACATGTTTAGCACTGGCATAATGACATAGGGCATAAAGATTAGAAACGTGGATTCTGGGTGAAAAGCCTGGCATGGATGCTTTTTATCTGTGCATCAGTTTTCTCATCAATACAATGGGTGGGTAATAGTTCCCACTTCTTATAGTGGTGGTGAGGATGAAAGGGAGTTATATATGTAAAGCATTTTAAAATGGTGGCACCTGGTAAGTGCTATATATGTGTTTGTTACTGCTGCTATGATTATTGTTATTAATATCATTAATTCAGAAATTGCATCAAGCCTCTCAGGAACCCTAGGAGGTAGATAATGGTATTATCCCGGTTTTGTTGAGGAAAGAAAGGGGTTAAATAACTTTCCCAAGGTCCTGGCAATAGCAGAGGTGGGATTCATGATACCTAGGCAGAGTCTGCACACTTAATCATGAAGCTATGTCATTTATTAGACACCCAATTGTGCCAGCCTCTGTGCTGATAACCCTTTGTTCAAATGATTTCATTCATGCTCCCAGGAACTCAGAATAATAACGCCCATTTTGCTAATAAGAAAACTGAGGTGCTGGGAGTCTAAATGAATTGCCCTAAGTCCTACAGCAGGTAGTTCAGAGAAGGAGACTTCAGACCCTGTCTACTGTCTCTAAAGACTGTGTCTGATATCCGGACAAACCTGCAAAAAGCGGTAGAGAAATTCTCTTTTCCACTGTTGGTGCCCTGGTGCCATTGACTCACAGCAGGAAAGGAGAGGGAATGCCTATGTCCCTCCTGTGCCTTTTTCATGAGTCATGAAAACGACAACTTCAAGTTATTATCACCCTATAAACGTTCCACTGCATGAACCCCATGCCCCCAGCATGGGACCAGTCTGTGTTTTGGGCTGTATTTTCATTTTTAACAGCCCAGTCTCCATTGACAGTAGCCACGTTGTTTTTTTAACATGGGAGAAGTTTGACAAGTAATCCTGTTGTCATGGCAATGTGTTGGTGGCAGAGGAGGCTGAGTTCAAATGTCTGTTGTTGTAATTACTCCCTGGGTCATCTTGGGCGTCTCCTATCCTCTGAGTCTCACTCTCCTCTTCTGGGAAGTGGACGTAATTATAACACCTACAGTTCTGTTCAGAGGTAGATAGAAATAATACCTATAGAGTGTCTAGCACAACGCATGGCAGTTTGTGGACCCTCAAGAATGTCAGTTAAGACCACTTCACCTTCCCATTCTTCACTCCCCATCTCAATTGTGAAGATGCAAAGGTCGCCAATCCATCTCTGGCAAAAGGGATCCTGAGCTGGATCCTGCATTAAAATGTGGTGGTCCCTTATGCGAAGTGACTGAGCCCCCTTGATCTCAGTTTCTCCAGCTACAAAGTGATGGGGGTGGGCTGGATGAGCTCCCAGGGCCCTTTCAGGGCTGACTTCCAGAATTTCAATCTCAGATCCTTATTGTTTTTAAACTGTGCATTTTAAAAGAAATGAGGGCTTGGGGAGGAGAAAGAAATTCCTTTAACCCGGAGGGTCAAAGGGGGTCACTGAGGGGACAAAGGAGCAGGAAAGGGAGGCGATGGGGGGAAGGCTGCGTGCGGAGCAGGACCAAAGATCTGAAGTCCTCAACCGGGAGGTCTGATGGACGCATTCAAACGCCCTTGAGTCAGCACCGGTTAGGATCAAGCTTGCCATCCAGCCTCAGACCACGGCTTACCACCTCCTTTGGAAACCCGGGAGGCCTACCCCACAGAGAGGCCGGGCTGGAATGAAAAGAAACAGGACGGCTTTGACGCCAGAAGGGAGGAATTCTAACCCTCAGCCCAGGTCGGCTTCCTGACTCTCAGGGAGAGGTCAGCCTCAGAAGGGCTTGGAGCTTGCCTGAATTCGAGGAATTGAGACCAAACCTTGATGTGTGCCTTTGAAACGCAGCCTGAGTCCAAGGCAGGTGAATCTGGGGAGCCAAGAACAAGGACTTCTTTGTGGCATTTAACGTGACCAGAAGCCTGCCCGCACGTCCATGTGCCTTGCTGTGCTTCTGCACAGTTATGACCGAGGTAGCCCAGGAGAGGAGAGAGGCCTGGGGGCCGGGTATCGGGGCTTTTTTCTAGCTCCTGGCTCTCTGCTCTTTCTTGGGGACTCTGTTAGGTTGCAAGAGACATTTAATATTCATGAGCTGTGATCTCCATTTGAAGGGAGTGCCCTGGGGGAAATTGAAATATTAAGCAAGTGAGGGATACAGACCTAATTGTATCCTCCTTTTCTTTTTGGACAGAGGAGTAATGTGCTTAAAATAAAATGATGGATGGGCAGTCGGGATTGTGTGAAAACCCCACTGCTATAGCCTGCAGAATAAATCGGCTGCGTGCTCTAACATATGCAGTCAGAACCAGGCAGAAGATGGTGCAAATTGGCTGCAGGGGTCCCGTCGTGTCATTCATTCACGCATTTATTGATGCCTGCTGTATGCCAAGCCCCGTGCTAGCTGCAATGGAAACAGCAGTGAACAAGGGGAGGCCAGGGAGGCTCGGGAAATGACACTAATAATTATTTAAACGTAATGTTTGAAAATGCCGCTAGTGGAAATATTTGGAGGTGTATAACTGAAGGACCTCCTTTACGTTGAATGGTCAGGAAATGCCTCCTTGAAGACAGGACATTGAAGATGAGTCTTGAAGGTTGACTAGGAAATGGATAAATTAGGGAGACTAGGAGTAAGTTGACGGAATGAGGATGGCACAATGTTTCGACTATTACATCCTTGAGGCAAGAAAGAGCTTTTGAAGAGGTCAAAGGAAGCCAGCACGGCCCGGATGGTAGTAAGGAAGAGAAATGTGACTGGCGCCTTGCAAGCTCTAATCCTTCGGGTGCTTGAAGACCACGGTGAGGCTGTTGCTCATGCCATGAAAGGACAAGGCAACGCCTATGTTTGCATTCTACATTTTGTATCAAGCCCTGCACTCGGCAGAGTAGACAAGCATATGCTTGCATAGATGAGGGTCAGAAAACTACTGGCCAGGGCCAAACTCAACCTGTTGCCTGCTTGGGTAGACAAAGTTTGATCGAAACACAGCTATGCCCCTTGTTTTCGATGTTTGCCACTATAAAGACAGAGCTGAGTAGTTCCAACAAAGACCTTGTATGGCCTACAAAGCCAAAATATTTACTAATGGACCCTGCACAGAAAAAGGCACCAACAACCGCTGGCATAGATGGATGCGTGTTTAGGTGGGAGAAAGAATGGCCAGTTAGGGAGATCAAGGCAGATGAGAGATAGAGAGGTGAGGTTATCACCTCATCCGTCTCACTCCTGGGCCTATAGCAGCGTAGCTGTAATTGTACTGACTCCAGTTTCCCTCACCCTTGAGGGAAAAAGTCATCCTGTCCATCCCTGGGTCCTCAGCAGCTAGCTCAAGGCAGTCATTGTCTGATGCACTGAACCAAATGACACTTCGAGGCAGAAAAGAGGAGCCCAGAGGAGCCCAAACAGTTTACCGCCCAAAGCCTCAGGCAACCTCCTGGATCCCCCCTGCCTGTGAAAGGAGTGTGTTGATATTTATGGAGAACATACTACGTTGTCTTATTTCAAAGCGGCAGCACCCCTGGCAACCAGGCATGATTATCACCACTTTCCAGATGACACAGCAGATCCCCTAAATGTTTAAGTGGCTTTTGAGAAAGTGGCCTCCATTCAATAAATATTTATTGAGCTGGAAACCGCCACAAGAGGAAACAAACCTTCGTGAATGCCGCATCCCATGCCGGCTGGCTGCCACACACACACGCAAGGCACTCAGCTCCCTCTTGATCTTCAGGAGGCTGCAGGAAGGCAGGGCCGTTACTCCCATTTTATACAATGAGAAACTGAGGCTCAGGGAGATAAAGTGACTTGTTCGAAGCAGGTGATTCTTACGTGGCAGAGCTGGGATTTGAACCAAGATCTGCTCAACTCCAACTAGCAGAGCTGGAGTCCTTCTCCAAAATACCAGACCTTCAGAACAAGGTGTCTTCCATCGCATCATCCCAGACAATAGTCGTAATAGTAGAAATAGCTCGGTATTGATTTAATTAATTTAATGCTTTCTCTATTACCTCCTTTGATTAATTGTGCTCACCCTATGAAGTAGTTTTAAAATTATGCCTGCTTTATAGATAAGGGAAAAGCCCAGAGATGTTAAGTCATTTACTCAGGGTTCCCAGTAAGGGATTCCTGCCCTGGAAGTCTGGCTCTTAAGCCCTCAGGCTAAACTACTAATTTATGCTACCTCTTGATCATTAAGCTTATCTAATGAAAAAAATGTGTACTCTGAAGAGCTGAACAGCCTACTTGCAAACAGATAATGAGAAGGGGAAACAATGCCCAGTGCAAAAGGAATCTTCCCATCACAAAAAGATCCTGGGGTCTCTTTAAGAAACACTGTCTGAAGTGTTTGTTTACAGATCATTAACTACTTAACAGAGGGAGAAACGAAAAGCGACTTTTTCTTTGCTGCCACTGATTAAGTAACAAGAAAAAATTAAGATAAAGCAAATTTGAAATTACAGTAATTTTGAAGGGACTGCATTTTCCATTTTTTAATTTGCCAGACAGAAAGATAATATACTCCCAGCTCCCAGTGTCTGCAGCCCAGCTTACAGGCACTAAGGTTGCCTTCTCTGTCTTCCAGACAGCAGCCACGGGGGTCCTCCAAAGACAGCTGGAAGCTAATGTGACCAATCTCACACTAGTTTTTGTCTATATGTATTAAGCACTTGCTGCATACAAAGCTCTGTGCTAGGCAGGGTGCAGACGGGAGTGACAAGCAGCAGCAGCAGAAGTCCTTCACTGGAGGACTTCAGAGGACAGGGGTCATTAAGCATACGTAAGGATTGCTGTGAGGGGACCCCAAGAGGAGTCAGGCCCTGGTGGGGGAGCTCGTAAATCCGTGAAAGCTTCCCGGACAGCCGGGCTTAGTAGGGTCACTCGCATAGCTCTGCCACTATAAAGGTCCAGATTGAGGGTTCTTTTGGGGGTACCGTGCGTAGATTAGTCCCAAAGAAAGCGACTCAGGGTAGCCGCAAGATGGGTGGGTGGGAGGTGTGATCCTGTAGTGAGTAGTGGTTTCTGGGCAGGAGCATGCCACGCTGGGAGCAGTGTTTTCAGATCAACCTTCCCCACCGTGGGATGCTCTTCAAGGGCCAATAAAATACTCTTGGCAAACTGACCTGAAGAGAAATAAGAGTGATTTTGGCTTTCAATGCCAGTCAGAAACCCAGCTCAAATTATCCATAAGATTGAACTAAACTTTTAACCGCCACTGTTGGCAGGACTGTGAAAGCTCCCGGCTGGAGCTGGTCCCTCAGTTCAGAAGTCCAAAACCACTCGTATAGCTTGAGTTCAGCCTCATTACTGACGAGAGGTCTGCGTGAGTGTCTTCAACCCATCAACTTTCCATTTGTTTTCGTGCCTTTTGCCAAGAGAACGCCCAACCAGGGAGCATGAGAGGAGAAGGCAATTGACCTGACCCAGAAGCACAGGGGACCACTTCTCTGCTCCAGGCTTGGTCTCCCTTTCTTTTTCCATCTGTGAAATGGGAGTGATGTTCTTTACTTCGTAGGGTACTATAATGTATTCTTTCATTCATTTATGAATTTATTCATCGCATATTTACGGAGAACCTTTCACATGTCACGTCCATGCTAGGCACTGAGGGTGCCAGCTCTGCTGTGCTTAGAGCAGTTCCTGTTCTTCAGAAAGTGATCAATAAATATTGATTATTAGAGTTATTAAAAATAAGAATCTACTCCTTACAAGGAGAGCACACACTGTCCCTGGCAGAGATCAGGCAGAAGATTGAGAATCATTACTCAGCGAAAGGATGAACGGGACTCTATTATGTAGCGTGATGAGATAGACAGATTTCAGTATATTTCTCCCTCACCTTGAAGTTCTGAACTCCTGGGGCTTCTGAAGTGTTACCCTCTTCCAAGTTTCCTTAACCTCTCTGGCCATCCCTACACAGACCTTCTTCTGCCCATCCTTTAAATATTAGCACACTCCAAATTCCATGATGGGCCCACTTCCCACTCTTCCTGAGCCCATCATTCAAAACTGAAGCCTCCCAAATCTCTATCTTCAGTCTGGGGACTGTCTCTTGACCTATGGACGTGTATTTCTAATTACTTTATTGGATGACCCACAGGCGCTCAAACTCAACACAGTGAATACAAGGCTTACCATTTTTCCTTCCAGACCTACTGCAACTCCTGTTTTTCTTAGTCTCAACTGGTGGCGCCACTAGCCAACCAGACATTTAAACTGGAAATGGAAACATCCTTAACTCTTCCCTCTCTGTCATTTCCCACAATCAAATAATTGCTATTCTGCCCATTTTACTTTGAAAACTTTTTCGCCCTCAGTCCCTCCTCTCTCTCCCTACCTTCATCGCTCTCCCTGAGTTCCGTCCCCCATCCCCACTTCAGCTCCTGCCAGGGTTATTGCAAGAGAACTCTAACAGGCTCCTGGTTCTCCGTCTTTCCTTGCCTCCATCTATCCTCCAGTATAGTGAGAGCAAGCTTCCTAAAATGCAAATATCATTTTGTCACTCTCCATTTGAAAGCATCAAGTGGCTCAGCAATGCCCTTGAGACAAATTTGAATTCCTTACTATGGCATTCAAGGCCAGTGTAGTCCGATCCAGTCATTTGCACTTTGTGCTCCAACATGTTGCTTTGCACCTCCACACTGTTTCCAGCTTCCCTTCATTTGCTCAGAGTCCACCTGCCTGGAATGTCTTCCCATCACCTCTTCCTCCTCTCAGAGATTCAGCCCAGGTATTATCTCCTAAGGGAAACCTTCCCAAGTTTGGGTAAGATTGAAGTTTGGGGGTCCCTCTTCTGTGCTCCTGCAGCATCTCATACCTCAGAACAAAATCCTGTGCAATCAGTAATTTATTTGCTTGCCCTTCTCACTAGACCGAGCTCCTAGAGTGCTGAGACCAGGTTGAATTCCTCTGACTTCCCAGGATTCCGTCCAGGACCTGGCAAATAATTTGCGGCTCGGTAAATATAGAATAAATGAGTAAAGGAAGAATATGTTTCTCGAGACAGTTTTATTTTTCAGGCAACAAATTGTTGTAGAGCTTGTTGCTCTTTAGAGTCAGACAAACTTCAGTTCAAATAGCAGGCTTTCCACTTTCTAGCTGTTGTTGGGGGCAGTATATCTCAGTTCCAGCAGCTCAGAGGGCTAGTTTCCTGCCCAGATTCCGGAGCTCAGAGGCTTGTGTTGAAACCCTAGTTCTGCCACAAAAGGAGTGAGGACCCCTTTAGTTTCCTCATCTAGAAAATGGCAGTATTACTATATTGATATGTTCTTGATTTTTCTTTGAGCTTTGTGTAAAGGAGAGACGGGTTCCAATGTAATTCTTATTCTATATCTCAATAGTGACCATGGTCATAACTCTTTGACAACCTCCAAATGTTTTAGGATTTTAGAAGAAGGGATGGATAGAACCAGTGATTTTGGTGGTTTCTTAGATCACCCACTAGAACTCTCCGATAATCCAAAATCAAGCTGCTTTTCAAAACCAAGACCTTTCAGGGAGGGAGCCTAATTAACTAGTAGCTGGAAAGGACTGCAGGTAGGCCACCCCCCAGCCAGAGAATTCAAAAGGAAGTGGGTAGCTGTGTAAATAACACTGCTTTAAGGGGCATTTAAGCCAATGCTCTTTGTTAAGGAAATTGATGGCTTTGTAAGTACTGCCTCTGAAGGGAGTACTTGAGTTGAAGGTTCTGATCTCCCTCGTAAATTCCCTAATGGACTGTGGGCCCGGAGGCTGGGCCCCAGTGTGTTCAATCACTTGCCAACAAAAACTTGGATTCCGCTTTAGAAAAATTAAAAAGATCGGACCAAAACATAAGTTATTGAGCCCGTGCAGTTTAACTGGCACAAGGTAGCAGAGATAAATTGCTTCCTTTAGGGAAAGGGAGACCCCTGCTCTTTCACAGCATCTTTTTTCACAGCAAACGTCGTGCATCTTCTATACAGCTTCTCATTTTGTCCTCCTGACGTCTGCGAAGATAGTCATTATTTCACCAATTTGCTGAAGAGGAAACTGGGACTCAGAGATGAAGTGTGCTGCTCGTTGACACCCAGCTAATTAGGGAAGAGCTGGGATATGACTGCAGCTCCCTCAGACCCCTGAGCCCCCAAGTACCACAAAATCATCCCAAGGCATGTTAGAGGGAGTCAGATCAGCTTGTCTCATTAGATCCTCCTCAGTAGCCACATCCACACAAAAGGAATGAATTTGGCAGCATGGGTGGATTAAAGGGCGTGGATTTGGCAATCAAACTAGTCAGTATTTGATTCTTGCTTCTGGAACCTGTGAATCCTTAGGTAATGACTTAACCTCTTTAAACATCAATTTCTTCTCTGTTAAATGGGATGATAATAGCACTGAACGCATAAGGCTCTTCTAGGATTAAATGACATTAAATATTTTAAAATATTTAACATAGTGCCTGGCACGTACCAAATCATCCTGTTATTCATTTAGCAAACACACTTGCTACGTGGTAGCTATCATTTTAAGTGGAGAAGTAGATGACGCTGTGGAAAGACAGAGAGAGGGACAGCTAGTCTTTCTGGGGTGGACTGCCAGAGAGATTTTCCAGAGGAGTGTTAGGTTAAGCTATGGATAAAGGATGAACGGAGACTAGTCATAAGAAAACAAGTGCTGGGAATTTAGGGGAAGCTTCTGCAAAGGTGGGGAGGTGAGAGGGAATGTGGTCCATTCAGGAAGCTGCCACATTTCAGCTAGTCTGGAGCTGAGACTAGAGTACATGCAAGAAGAAATGAGAAGGCTGCAGAAGCAGGCAGGGACCAGATTATGCTTTGCCAATTGTCATGAAGCATCTGTTGGAAAATGATGCATGAATATCTCACTGTCTTCTGAGGCAGCCAATTCCAATTTCAGACCAACTCTAGCTTGCTAGAAGAGTTTTCTACTGTGTCCTATCTGAGCAGCCATCTCTTCGCAGGTTATGCATCTCCATACCTATAGGAGCATTGCTGAGTGATCAGCCTGTCTTAAGCCCCAATCTCTGCCCATATCTTAGGTCATCAGTGGCCCAGACTTGGTCTGTCCAGCCATCTCTAGGACCAGAGAAGACTTCTCTGACCTCTGTTCTGGAATCTACAGCCAGTAATGCACCTGCAATCTCATGCTTTTGTTTGGGCAAATACCTTCTCCAGTTGGTGGAAACTGACCTCAGAGTGACCACTACTCCCTGGAACTTTTTCTGAACGTGAATAGTTATCCTGACTCTTATCATCTCTGATCAAAAACAGCAGTGGTTTTGATTGACGTGTTCAAATGTTCCGGGTTAACTCTAAGGTTTAGGACCAATTTTCCCTTCCTTCCTTCCTTCCTTCCTCTCTCCCTCCCTCCCTCTCTCACTCCCTTCGTTCCTTCCTTCCTTCCTTCCTCCCTCCCTCCCATTCTTCTGCCTTCCCTCCTCCCTTCCTCCCTCCCCCCATTCCTTCCTTCCTTCTTTTCATTCTTCTTTCCTTATTGGGAGGAGAGAGAGACATGTACACACATTTTTGTAAGAACAAAATACCGTTCAACCATACAAATCAAAGAGCATATAGATTCAAACTAACATAAAATCCTCTCCAAGAGCAGAAGAGTAACCCACCCATCCTGTAAGATAAAGAGAACTTACCTGAGTGGGATCCTGCCCATTGACTCAGCTTCTGCTCTTTAGAGCACTGCAGTGTGTCTCATCAACTTGGAGATGGAGGGCACTGTGGCTTGAATGTCTCATCTTTTTGGATGTATCTGAACCATATGGCAGGAGGATGGTTTTAGAGGCAGGCCAGACCAATCAGAGCTCCGGGTAGGAGGGATCCACTTTAACAGTCTTGTTTCTTGCATGGGAACCCCACCAAGAACCCAGCACACTGCAGTCCCTTTAGTCACAATCAGCTATGCCAGGCTGGGGTAACTGTCTTGGTTTTCATGTGGTGCCATGATTCATCCTCTATTCCTTGGCGACTGTTAACACAGCATCCACTTGTCCAAAATTGTCTCTTTTCTGGAATCTTCAGGATGCCTTAACAGGCTGATGGGCTTCTTGTTTTACTGGATTGAAGGATAGATAGGCATATGTGTGCATACTGACTTTTATTTGAATGCATTGTTTTTCTTTATGCTCATATACATGTATTTCTCACAGAACAATTGCATTTGACATTGCATATTGCTGATATTTATATAATGAGCTTTAATTAGGCCATAAAAACCCTTGGCCTATAATAATTAACTGTGCAACATTCAGTGAATTACCTAAACTTTCCGAATCTCAGTTGCCACATTTGCAAAAAGAAGCACTTGGACTAGATAATTTCTAAAGACCCTGGCAGCCCTAAACCTTCATTCATTCATTCATTCATTCAGCAAATACTTACTGATAGCCTTGTATGTCCTGGAATTGGAGTCCAGTAGTAGGCAAAATAGCCTAAGTTTCTGCTCTCATGGAACCACCATTCTGCTTTAGAGAGAACGCAATGATCAAATAAACATTCACAGAAGCAATATAATGCCATGTAGAAAATAAAATAGACTAGTAGGGTAGAGAGACTGGAGTGAAGATAATATGATTAGCAAAGGCCTCACTGGGCAGTTGATGGTGAAGCTGAGACTTAAACAATGAGTTGACAAAGTCATTTGATGATTTAGGAGATGAGTTGTAGATTGTTCTGTGATAAGAAAATGTGAAAACATGTTTGAGTATTTTCAATCATATTATTTTATGTGATCATTATAGCCACTCTCTAAAATGGGTAGGAAAAGTAATTTTGTCATGTTTTTAATAGACAAAAAGAATGAAACCCAGAATGAGGATGTGTGTTACCCAGTAGCAAAGAATAAGTTAGTGACACAGCTGAGCTTCAAATTTTGATTTCCTGTCACTTATTCCACCTGCTTTTCATTTTTGTCCTCTTCTATGTTTCTCAAAACGGGTTCCTTTACACCCTTCTCAGTCTTCATTGTGCTGGTCACAATTCCCCATCTTTCGACTGCAAAACTGGTTTAATGAGTAAAGGAAAGAACCGAAAACCAAGAACCAAATACATTTTAGAGTGACTCAGTGGAAGGGGATCATAAAGAGACTTAACTGTCTTATTCTATAGAAGGTGAAATTGCAGCCAAGGGAGCAAAATGGCTTGTCCAAAGCCATGGGTAGATTAGAGAGCATCTATTCCAGATGCCAGTTCTCCTGATCAAGCTGCTGATTCTCAGAAACTGTCCCATTTCTTTTTCTTTCTTTCTTTTTTACCTATTTATTTTTGGTATGAGGCAATGAGATCATGTTAAAACCACTGACACTCCATTTATAGTGTACTATCTTTCATCACCCTTTTTTGCCACTTTTTGTACACGCTTCGCATATGAATATTTTAGGTATTTTTCTCCATTTATTATTAGCTTACATTATCCCAGAGAAATCTCATTTTGTTATTTCCTGCTCATACTTTGAAAGCCCTTTGGGTCCTAGGTGTCACTTTCCCTCCCATCTGTGCTCAGAATGCCTGTCTATTCCGTGGCCACTATAGAATTCACTGAATTTTACTGCCTCTTCCATATTTTGAGATAACATTGGAACCCAAAAGAGACCTGGCTGAAAATCATTCAGGGCTTTGAACATTCTGCTCTATTGAATATATTGTTATTTATTAGGATCACTATCTTTGCTTACAGTCTTTTTTAGGCCTTTCAAATAACTATTCTAAATGCAAGGTGATGTAATGTATCGTCAAGTTCCAATTCATAAGACTGTCAAATCTCTTTATTAAATTTCAGTCCAGTTTGCACCAACTTTTCTATCCGGATAGTCCATTTCTTTGCAAATTTAGTTAAGAAAGAAAATAAAACAGTATTTAGGACAGATGGTAAGGCACGATATCTCACAGGAAAAAAATATTATTGGATGGTTTAGATAGAATTGGGTTTTCCCCCCGAATGTGTGCTTGAATTTGTAATATGATCTCATTCTAATTAATATTTTCATAAAAATCTGTCTGTAGTGCAATTTGCTGAAACAGATTCAAATCAGGTTTGAGGCCTCTTCAATACAATCAATAATAAAGATTCTAGAACTCTGAAAGAACTTTGTTAATTCATCATTTCCTGAGTACCTGCCGTGAGACTGGCATTGCCCTAAGAATTAGGGATGTACATAGAAGTAAGAACGGGGCCAGCACAAAAATATCTCACGATCCAAGAACTGTACTCATTCATTCATTCATTTATTAGTATATACCAATTACATAATATGGCAAGGGAGTTTTCTTGATCCTAAAGAAAGAGATCCACTTTGAGATATGCCTCCATGAAGCTTATATCACATGGGAGAAGGAAGAAACAATAAGTAAAAATTTATTTTTATATAGTAAATAACACTGTGAAGTAAGTTAAATAAGATGGTCTGCTGCTCTCTAATGGGGGTGCAGGAGTAAGAGGTGAGCTTACTGTAAGTAGACAAGGTTGTTATTTGAGGAAGTAATATTTGAACTGAACCCTAAATGATGAAGAGGAGAAAACTGAGAAAAGCCAGGAAAAAGGTATTCCAGGTAAAATGAAAGCAAGTTCAAGTTTCTGGAGCAATAGCAAGTTTGGCTTACTTAAGGAATAGGTACTTGTTGAATGGAGGGATGTCTGGATAGATGGATAAAATGAATGAATGAATAAATAGAAGGTGGTGGACAAAGAGATAGTAGTGGGATGTAGTCAAATAAAGTGGGGACTTATAGGCCATTATCCAGACTTTGGATTTTGTTCCCTGTGACACAGGAAGTCATTGAGAAGCTTTAAGCAGGAAAGTGGCCTGATATAATTTATATTTTTAAAAGAGCATTCTAGCTGTACCCTGGAAGAGGGAGGATTGAGAAATAGACACAGAAGAAGCAGGGAGACTGGTTAGATGAACATTGTGATAGTGACTGTGGCTTGGATCAGGGTGGCAGTGATGGAGCAAAAGTAGATCTTTTTGAAATATTCTGAGAGGAAAGAGTCTACAGGGTGTGCTCGTGGACTTTGTGTGGTGTTGGAGGGTGGGCTAAAAAAATAGCAGAGATGACTCAGAAGGTTGTGGTTTGGCCATTGTTGGGCAATGTTGTTATTTACTAAGATGGAGAAGAAAGAAAGGAATATGGGGAGAAACCATTACTTCTCTTGTAGACTTGTTGATTTTGTGATGCCTTTAAATAGATACTTAAATAGAGATGTCATTGTAGGCGGTTGGGACTCAGACAAGAGGTCATATATAAAGAAATGTTTGAGTCATTGACACATAGATGTTTTAAAATTTTTGTTTCAAACTACGACTGGATGACAGAATGTAGATAAATAAGACAAGGAAGCCCAATACCTGGCTCTGAAACATGGCACATTTAGTAGAGATTTAGGGAAGCAGAAGACAGTCAGTGAATCTATGTGAAAAGAGCTAAGAGCCCGAACGGCCTAGGATGGCGTGGTGTCATGGAATCTAAGAGAGGGTACTTCAAGAAACAGAAATGGACTATTTTTTTTATATGCTTCAAAGCAGTCTAGCAAGATGACCATTTTGAAATTACGGTTAATTTTAGCAATGTTGAGGTCAATGGTGATCATGACAAGATTGATTTTAATGGAGTGGTGAGTGCAGAAGCTAGACTGGAGAGAACTGACGAGTGAATTGTAGGAGAAAAAGTGGGTAATGTGAGTTTAGATAACTTTCAATAAATTTTACTGTGAATCATGGAAAGGGAAATGTTAAGCAGGAGACATAGTGGTAAGGAGATGTGGAATGAAAGGAGGTTTTATTATTTTTAATTTTTAAAATTTGTATTACTTATTTTTTAATTAAAAATTTTATATAGGCAATATCCTGTTTTGCCGGTTTGAAAGAAGAGAATAATGATCCAGAAAGTAAAGGGAATTGGTTTGTGCTAAACAAGTAGGAACGCAGAAGAGGGACAGATGAGGCTTCAGGAAGCTAAAGATGCTAGAATTAAATTTTGATGGAAGACTCAAAGGTGGAGACCAGCCTTTCAGGCTGAAAAAATAAGGGCAGAAGCTCTGAGGTGTGAGTTCTGGAAGGAACTGTGTACATTTGAGAGCGGAGTTGTGGTTGGAAATGAGATGAGACAGGAAATTTGGAGTCAGTCTACAAAAGGACTTGAGTGCTAGGTGGGGAAGTTTGAATCTTTGCAGGCGTCAATTAAAGAGTTTCAAATATGATCAGATTTACATTTTAGATTAATACTCATAGGCTGCATTGTGAGAAGGGATTGAAATGGGGAAGACCAAAAGCCAGTTAAGAGAGTGTTGTCAAGGCCAAGTGGACAGAGGAGAAGCTGTCCTCCTAAGGGTGTGCTCCATGAGTGTGGAGTTGACAC